CAGTCATAGTTATACATGTCTGTCTTCTTGACGTGCTTTTTCGCGTCAGTAATCATTCATTCGATTCGTAAAACCGTAAATTCTGCTCAAATGGCCGACAGATGACGTCAACAACAGAATAATAAACATTTACGCTATGCATCATTAGAAATCAATGCACAGTCATTTTGGTTGATGCGACATTACAGTTGGAAAAGTAAACTATTATGACAATTTGAAACTTTCATTTGGATGACAGATTAAAAACCAATATTAAATATGTAAGAGTGAAGTAATTGGATGCACAGTGGGTCGCCGTTGGTGGCCATGGCTCATTGGATACTAACTACAAAAAGTGAAAACGCACAAAATTAAAAAAATATACACCAATTTTAGAACTGTCCGTGTCGACAGCGATTGTGTGTCAGTAGACTGTATACACTGTTTAGTAGACGTACACAGGTGGGATCATAAGTCTGACCCTCTACTCAGAAAAATTGACCTATTATTGTCCTGCCAAATGTAAATTATTCATGACTAGGGATCGTTTTCTATACCATTCAGAGCACTTACATAGTTTAATTTGACTAGAGAGGTATACACCTATGTGTGTGACCTGAAACATGCTAGTAAATATATGTACATCATTAAATTAAACCTTGTCATGTTTAAAGTGAGAGGGTCGTCATCTGCGCACACGTGGGAATTGAGTCCCAAGTGACGTTAACAAGCACGCTAAACACGAAAAGACTTGTGGGAAGACGAATTATTTCTGGTTATCTACACTTCTCTATATGGGACTGTGGTAAAAATAAAGTCCCTCTATCTGGGAATGTGGTAGAAGTAAAGTCCCTCAATAACATTCAATATAAACACAGTCACTCTCCCAGTAGAGTGACTGTGATATAAACTACACCGAATGATTTGGAAATTGCTACTTTTCAAGCAGAGCACCATTACAGTTTTCAGAAACGTGCTACATATAGAGAAAACATCATCAAATAACAATTACAGTGCTACTAGAATAAATAATTAAAGATAAATTGGTACCATCGACATCTGATACGATGATTTCAGATGGAATCCTATCACCAATCACGTTTAGTGTATTAGTGTGTACCCAAGAGGAGTAAATGTCTCGCCACAGTGAATGTTACTACCTGCTGCTCTTGCATATTTGATTGAAGAGACAAATATAAATGACCTTTGAGTCGTTGGTTCGTAGATATAAACATGGAGGTGAAAGACTTTTACCTCCATGATATAAATAACAATGAAGTCCCACGACAATGTTTCATCTAAACACTAATTACTAAATATTGATTAGTACATAAAACATAACTAGTTCATTTTATAGCATAGTGAACCAAGTGTTTGAACATAAGCGTTGAATAAACAGTACGTACCATTAATTCAAATGCCATGCCCATTTGTGTATTTGACTTATAGTGTGTCTGTATGCTACTACTAGTATATCAACGGTTTATTTTGTCATCGTAATTAATTCGCAATAAAGAACACATATACACAGTAGAACATAATTTATCTCTATCTATATTAGCACCCAATTTAAAAACAACATATTGCATAGAATGTGCAATAAACCATTTGAGCGTGTAATTTAAATACACCACCCGTCCTCCTACCAACCCCGGTACTTTTCGACTCCAATCACTTCTAGCCCCCCCCCAAAAAAAAGTGGCTCGTCCCAATCGCCCTACGCCATTTTACCATTCATTTTTGGACGGTTCGCGCCCGCTTCCGAACCAGTCCTCCACGTTTTCGTTTCTCCCACACTTTCGATCCCCAAATTTATCGCTTTTTCGACTTTTTTTCCCCTTAAACCACGTTTCTGTCAACCCCCTTTCGAATATATAACGTTTCAACACGGTTACTAAAAAAGACGGTTAGGAAACGAATCATGTTCTTTTCATTGGATGCGTGTCGCGGGTAAACATTTGAAACAAAAGACGTACTAATCTTTTTTAGTAATCGTGGTTTCAACAACATCCTCGCGGTTTTTTCATTTTATTTACTCCCGCCAATTACTAGACTTGCGTTCAAAAATACCGCTGCTCAACAGCTGTCCCGCCCCCATAAAACCGATCCCCTGTTTGCCGTTTAGTTTAGTTTTTGTTCTATCTCCCTTTACAATTCCCCCGTTGACACCTCACCGGGTATTTACACTTCCCATTCTCACCACCCCTTTGAACGACCGCTACCAATCAGACTGTACAAATAGTTATAGCCACGGTGTCTGCTCCCCGGTAGCACCACCGACCATACACCGACGCCCTCTACGCCACGGTAAATGATAAGCGCCCCAAATTGTAACATACTGGCTCGTTGTTGTTGTTTACGCCACCGCCGATCACAATAATAACAACCACGTCGTCTCGCACCTCGCAGCCAGTCCCTGTTATTTCCGTTGATTTATTTCACACTCTTCCTACGAAAACTCTCAACAGACTTTTCCAGAAGAACTCCCGGAATAATCGACGCCCCCCAAACATTTACGTTCCATTAGTTCGATTAAGTGAACAACTCGCATTTATTCTAGCCCGATAATTCGCGAGCCACTTCTTGCTGGCCCTCCCCCTACACTGGGTGTATAGGCGATTACTCTCTCTTTTAATTTTTTTTTAAATACGCGTAGTAGCCAGCACCGCGTTGTCATAAAGCGCCAGATGTTTTCTAGCCCAATGGTCAAAGACGCCGTTTTTATTTAAATTATCTCGCTCGTATTTTTTCATTCAGACAATTATTTGTTTTAGAAAAGTAAACATTAGTATGGTCCGTAGTGTGCGCGTCTATTTATTTTGAAATGTGTACACGTGCGTGTAGGGAACTGGAAGATACCATATTCTTTATCTCAATCAACGGCCAAAGGTCATAACATAGTCGAACAGCATTACCACCCCACACACAACAATTCAGTATACTAGTATATATACTATGCCATATAATTTTACAGGAGTTCCGATTTTTTTAAAATGAAGTATATTGTCACTCTGTTCATCTGATTAACATTATGTTATCCTCGGGAAAAATGAGTACGTGATTAAATGTCAAGTATATTAGGAGATACAATTATTTTATATGAGGTCATAGAGCATGAGTTCTAGCAAGATGGCGTCAATGACGTCACGGAAAGGATACTCCGATTTGACATGATTGAGTATCGATTGTTAGAAAGAGCATCTTCACTATCAAAGATTTACGAAAATACGAGATGGTGTTTATTCCACTCTTTTTCATCCTCGCGGTCCTGGATTAGTATATCTCGAATCGTGTGTTGAATTGATTTCAATTTTCCATTTCGAACGTGTCACGTGATATGAATCAAAGATGATGACGTAGTGCATTGATTATTTAGGCATGCCCTTAACACCAAATGAACGAATGAATAAATAAACAAACAAACAAACACAC